GCGTTGGTCTCACACCAGCCAACAAAGTCACTGATGACCCCCCTGTATTCCTCATCATTCCCGTCTGATACCTATCCAATGATGGCCGTATCATCCGAGAACTTCTGAAGGTGGCAGTGGTCCGAGTTGTACCTAAAGTCTGACGTGTACAGACTGAACAGAAAGGGTGAGAGGACCGTGCCCCATATATGTATGTATATGTACGTATGCTCCCACCTGTCAACATCTTACATCTTAATATTATGTGCTGGAATGTCTCAGGGGCATCTTGGGTCTGGTTTGTGTAGTAGACCCAACATTTGGTGCTGTCCTTCAGTCCAGCCTTCTCTATTCAYTGATAGGACTTGTTGAAATCAGTCATTCTGATGGTGGTACATGCCATGCAGGGGTTTATCTGTCCATGATGGGTTCTCTTGTTCTTCCTGGGTTTCTGCTGTCTGTCTGAGACATTCACTGAGTAATTCATTATTGAAGTAATCTAGGATCTTAGGTGTTTTATCCAATCCTCTGCTTCTATTTTTCCATGGTTTCAGGGTGCTGGACTTGGGGAGGAACCCTCCAAGCATTGGTGTCTTTGACCCCAGTTATTGTACCAGCAGGGTATCTGACGACTGGAACGAATGTGCAAATCGTTAAATAACGAGACACCTGTACAATCATATCTTTACACATTTATTTTCAATTCTCAACTGAATAAATTTACAGTAAATTCAAAGAGTAACATTCAATAAGCTTCAAACTAAACTTTACAAAAGAATTATAAAGCTTGCATATTTCATTTTTTTTAATTGCAGGTCATTCATTTGAATAAAAGCACTTAAGTCTTGAGTTTCAGTTTTAAAAAGTTGGCAATAATCCTTTTTTAAAATATTAATTTTTTTCTATTTCATGCTCTCTCAAGCTGCAGTAACAATAATTTGAATAAAAGCACTTAAGTCTTGAGTTTCAGTTTTAAAAAGTTGGCAATAATTCTTTTTTAAAATATTTATTTTTTTCTATTTCATGCTCTCTCAAGCTGCAGTAACAATAATTTTGTAAGTAAGTGCAAAGAGCTGAAACAGGTAGTGGCATTGCAATCCTGATTTTATGTACATTTTGAAAGAGGTCAGCATTCAGCTTATTTTCAAAGGGCAGAATGACCAACACCCTCTTTTTTTCAGAGGATATATATTTACATGAGTTTGTTGAGGAGTCCCTAATATCTTCGGTGAGGAGCGTATTCAGTCCCCGGAAAATTATTGTCAATTCCCAAAACATGAAAGTATATTTAATTTACCTGATCAACTACATTACCACCTCAGACCTAAAAGTCATGTCAAAACACTACATTTTGTCCTGATTATTTCACTTCCCTAAGCAACAAGTTATTTACTTTTTTAAATAAATCTACTGTATTCATTACAGTCTATAGCACCTACAGGAACATTTTCCACTAAACAACTACATTATAGGATCTCAGCTAGGATACTTAAAGGTTTGTGCTTTCAAGAGACATTCCCTGTAAGGAAAAAAAACAAAAAAAAAAACAAGGAGTGTGACACCTCCTCACGGCCAGCAGGAGGCACTGTGAGCCAATCAGAGCTCTGAAGCTCTGCTCTKACAGGACTGTACATCACAATCCATAAAATATGGTGAGGGAAAAACCTTTGTTGTCCAAAAATGAGGGCAAAATTAACTTTTTTTCTGAATTATTTGGGGGTGTTCATTAAACTACAAGCTTTTAGATAGAAAAACAGCAAGGCTTTGTATCCACATCCTCAGAAATATCAGATGGGTTTACCCATGAGAACAAATTTAAGGGTGACGTAGAATAGCCAAGACATTATTTGACCAAGCTCTTATTTGTGTCCTAACGACAATTTCATTCAGAAGTTTACATCCACTCCTGATGGACATGAATGTCATTGATTTGTGGCTTTTATTGATTTATATGGAATGATCATACAACAACAACCATAATGACTTAAAAACAAGAACTGGGTGCACAAGTTTCAATCTATTGTAGATTTTCTCTGACTTTTAAACTATACATGCTGGCTCAAACAGAGGCACATATTCAGCAAAATCTTTTGATGAGGTAGTGCTAAAAGTTGTTTGTTGTCTTTTAACACGACAAGGATATGACCTGATTATGTCCTGTTGGAGGGTATGGTTTACTGCAGCTGGTAGTTTATCTTTGACAGTTCTTAGATTGACCTGTGCTCAAAACAACAGGAAAGTCCAAAAAGCAATCTAATGGCATTTGTAGATTCACGCTAATTGAGCCATTACCACTTTGTCGAGACCTGGAAGAAAACCCTGACAGTTCCCCTTAGATGACATTAAATTGGTCAGGATGTTCAGGAACCTTCGAGGCTAAAGCCTGCCAAGAACTGAAAACTGCTGGAACACCAGTCTCCCTGTCCACAGAGGTGCCAGTTTTGGATTGAGCTGGTTCCGACCAAGAAAGAAGCTCCTGCTCTAAAAGCCACACCTTCAAGCTCAACTGAAATTTGCAGATATCCTGTACCAAGWATCCAGCACAKAGGTGGWRGCATCATGATGTGGTATGGTGCACACCGTAGATGAAATAATGGAAAGATACCTCTACTTCACCTCAAATAATCAGTTAGATTGTTGAACCTTGGACACAAATAGGCATTCCAACAATAACTTCAAACAGATATAAAAAAATTGGTTTCTGACTGGTTAAAGGAGACCGATATTAAACTTGATCTTCCCAAAACCCCAACCTCAACCCTACCGCAAACTTGAATCTTTACCAATTCAGCCAAGAAGATAGGTCCATTATCCAGACAGATTAATGTCTGAATGTTGTTACTGGCTACATAAAGTGTGTGGTCAGGGTACAACCTGCTAAGGGATTTTAACCACATATTAGTGGGGGTATATGCATAATTTGATGCTATGAGGTATGAAGAATATTCACAGTAAATTCAAACTTGTGCCTCTAATACTTGTTTTTAAAAACCATTGAAGTTGTATGTTGTATAAACTTTCCAGAAATAGAATGATCAAATAAGCCCTTAAATACCCAAAATTGATACATCCATGTCCATGACGAGTGTAAATAAAATTATTACCACAACTGCATCCACGTATGAACATTTAAGAGTTCATAAAGTCTCATTCCTCTTTTTTAACCTTTCATAAATGTATATTTTAAGTGGAAGACATTTGATTGCAGGAAGAACAGCAAAGCAGAATCCCTCACAAGCTCAGGTCAATTATGATGTGTTCAAAGATTTGTGTGTTTCCTTTGAAGCTGGAGGAAAAGATAAAGTCCCTGCGGTCGGTRGAAACCACGGTGAAGGAGCGTGGCGCCTGGATGTACGCTTCCTTGAAGCGTTCAAAGACTTTCTTGTCATCGTCCCATAGGTAGATTTGCGAAAAGGTGTAGTCACTTCCCAGAGCCAGGTAGTACCGGTCTTTAAAAAAGAAAGGCTGGAGAATCATAGAGCCTCGTGAAGGCAAAGCCTGTATCTCTGAAAACAGTTTGGCACCCCATTTTAAGACCTTGGAGTCACCGATATAGCGAGTCATAGCAAGGTAGAGCTCCTCCTTGATTCGGAAGTGCTTCACAGCTACGACATCCTCCATGTTGGGGATCTCCCCCTGTAGGATGAACTTCTGGTTGCTCCGGCTCCACTGGTAAATCACAGGAACCTGCGAGCGGCTCGCCAAAATGAGATGAGCCTTGCCGTCCAAGTTCAAGAACTCCGCGTCCGTGTCACGGTACCACTCGTGCAASGACTGGTACGAATAAAAGCCGTTTTCGTTCCACTTGTAGAGGGTCGACAGGCCAGCTTTTGAGCTGTCAGCAATCACAAAGAACCAGTCGGAACCAATTTGGAAAGCCTCGATGTCGTTGGGCTTGGAGATCTTCGACACTTCGATGTCCTGGAACTTGTTGAACCTGCTCTGGTCGTCGTCGAACTTGTAAATGTGGGAACCACCGAAGAGCTGAGCCACGATGACAAAYACCTCATCTTGGATTACAACTGACTTGCAAGCCACGATGGACTGAGCTGAAAGCAGAAAAACACACCACTCACATAACAGCAGAAGAGCTTCCTTGAGATACGGACTTAAATGAATTCCCTCACCTGTGATGTTATCGTACGTCCTGAAGTTCATTTCTATATGGTCCCATTGGAAGACCATACAGCTGTCTGTGCTGGGAGCAGCAATGGTCACATAAACATCATTCTTAAAACTGAACGTGTCAACAGACAGGGACTCCGACGCCACCGACTGATGAAGGACAAAATCTGTGGAAAGGATCAAACGGTTGAGTTTTTAGGAACCAACAAAACATTTCAAGAAAAGTCTGATCGAAAGGACAACCTTAATCTGAGCTGCCGCTCTCACCCGTTGAGATGCACTCGTTGTGCAAGCTGTTCATGTCATTGAGGCGCTTGTCCTTCAGGTCCTCCGGTCCAGCACACACGACATCCGACACCGTGGCGTTGGTGCTCTTCAACCACGTCATGAGCCATTTGGCCCTGCAGTCGCACTCAAAGGCGTTGCCCCGCAGGTCCCTGCAGAACGGAACCAACGCAACTGAAACGGGCAACGCATCGTCGCCTTCCCAACATTTTGAACCGTGCGACAAACTCACAGCTCGATCAAAGAATCCAGATCAACAAAGACGTCCCTGGGCAGGAACTGAATGTTGTTGTTTGCCAAAGACCTGAAAACAGCGAACAAAGACAACAAATATGAGTTGAAAATGGAAGAAAATGATTCTTGTGTACTATGCAAAAGTATTTTTTTAATATATAAATATTGGAACATACAAGTGAGTCAAGTCCCTGAGTCCTCTGAAGGCAAATTTTGATGTAGTCTCAAGTTTATTACTCTCAATGAACCTGTAGATTTAAAAAAAACAGGGAACAATCATTTAATTGCTTCAAAGGTAGAATTTTACATACTTGTTGAGCAAACTGTAATTGCTGCCTTTTCTATTTTGTTAAGTCTGGTCACACTTTTTGCGAATAAGCTGGATTTATTTAGTTTAAATTACCAATCAGGAACACAGTGTAGGAAATGGACCAGTGTCAACTGGGAACGGTCGCCACTTTGTTACCAAACTTCTTTTCTGAAGTTGCCGCATAACTTTAAGCAATCTGAAAGTGTTTGTAAAGTCGTYGTGTAGACATAAAATAATTGAGTTTTTTGCTCATTTTTGTTYTAAATTTTCAAAAACTCACAGGTACTCCAGGTGTGGCAGGCCTGAGAACGCATCATCTCGTATCGTTGTCAGAGAATTTGAGTTCAAAAGTCTGCAATGAAAAGTTAAACAAACTGATAAATAATAATTCTGCTGGCTGACACAACACTGGACCAGTTCATGGTTCTGGCAGATGAACTGAGTATACATAAAGCACATCGCCAACACAAAACCAAATGTCCTAAACCCATCCTAGAAAGGCAATGATTGTGAAATCAAACAAGTTTTTATTGYCATAACTTATAAGATTTAATGTCTTTTGAAAATTGAAATAATAATTATGGAAAACAAAATCCTACTGGATAAYAAACAAAGAGTGTGATTTTAATTCCTATAAAATCCTACAGAAAGGTTCMACGTTCGGAAATTCCCAGAACTTTGCCACCCTGGTTGATAAAAAAGATTGCACCATTCATGCAGTCTCACTGGGCTAACGAGCTAACGGCTTGTCTGTCATYTWCWRCAGGTAAGATACTAACTSCTCATAAGCTTTCCACAGAGCTAAACTTTAAAAATAATTTGATGTAGTGTTTTAATATGCAGGACACATTACTGTAGATGTGTTGGAGTTGTGCACAACCCAAACTTAGTTGCTGAACATGCAGGTGCTGCAGTGGCTTAAAAGCCTGCTATTATTTATGCATGATGATGGGGGAATAAATGACTCAAAATCTTGTATGAAAGATCAACGGAGGTGTTCTTACAGCAGCTGTAGGGTGGGCATGTGGGCAAACATTGCCTCCTTGACCTCAGTGAAAGTCCCATTGACGATGCTCCTGAARGGAAGAAAGCAGAAACCAACAAACCAAAAGATCAATACGGATTCGCATGGCCCTCAGATCTTATTAACAGGCTGCACAGTAAAAATAGACCCGAACAGAACTCCATTTATCCACGCACTGATGTGGTTTAGTCGATATMCTGTAGTTTAATAAAAAGAATTCCACAAATGGGTTTTCGGGATACTCACAATGAGCTGATCTCGTTTGGGGCCATCCTGGGGATGTAGGAGGACCCGACRCAGATGATGGACTCCTTGGAGCAGCTGCATGTTGAAGGGCATCGGAATGGCTTTTTCAGATGAGCCGGTGGACACAGGAAGCCCAAAACCACACACAGCAAAGCCCAAATCCTGAGAGCTGGCAGCATGGTTCTTGCCGGGCTTGCATGTGTGGCTGTAGTTTTTTTTTTTTCCCCCGGTTTGTTGTGTTTGGATGAAAGAGAGAAAGAGAGAGAGAGAGGGATGGAAGCAGACAACAGCGACAGCGTGTTTCCACCCTGCACCATGAAATGCTGCACTGGCTCCCTGACATCAGCAAATCAGCTGCAGCTCCACCGCTTTCATTATTTATTTAGAAAGAAAAAAAAACAAAAAAAGATGGGGAGAGAGAGAGAGAGGGACAGGGGGCTCCCAGCCGGGTAACTGTTGGTTAAACGTCCACACAATACCAAACCAAGACTATAATAGGCAGCTGTGGTCCACCACATATGCTTTTAAAGCTATTTTCAGTGATATATTTAACTGTAAATGAACATTTAATGAAATTTTACACAAATATACTGTAGCTAGTGGTCAATCCTGAAATTAGAGTAAAGGAAAAACAAAAGAAAACTGAGACTAAATACACATTTAATTTTCATTTTTTATGAATCGCTTAATATTTCTGCTTTATTAGATGATTTAATATTAAATGACTCACGGGGCAAAAAAAATGCAACATTAAAAGGTTTGATGAGAATATTAAAGCTATGAGATTATATATAAGATTTCCCCTCCCTGGAGCTCTGAGGCAAAGAACTGCAGCACCACGGACAGCGCTTATGGCAAGACAGTTTACCATTTAATACTCAGACAAGCTCCTGCTGATGTTTGTTCAAAATAACCCTTTTTGTTATCCAGCATACCATTTGTACCAACTGTGATCAAGTTTTCAGACATTTCAAACAATTATATGGCAAGCCCATGTTTCATATATCATATACAGTGGTTTGCAAAAGTATTCATACCCCTTGAACTTTTCCATATTTTGTCACATTACAACCACAAACATAAATATATTTCACTGGAATTTAATGTGAAAGACCAACACAAAGTGGTATACAATTGTGAAGTGGAAGCAAAATTTTACATGAATCAAAACATTTTTTACAAATAAAAAACTGAAAAGTGCGATGTGCAAAATTATTCAGCCCCCCTGAGTCAATACTTTGTGGAGCCACCTTTTGCTGCAATTACAGCTGCAAGTCTTTTAGGGTATGTCTCCACCAGCTTTGCACATCTAGTGACTGCAATTCTTGCCCATTCCTCCTTGCAAAACAGCTCAAGCTCAGTCAGATTGGATGGAGAGCGTTTGTGAACAGCAGTTTTGAGATCTTGCCACAAATTCTCAATTGGGTTTAGGTCTGGACTTTGACTGGGCCATTCTAACACATGAATATTCTTTTTTTTAAACCACTCCATTGTAGCTTTGGCTTTATGTTTAGGGTCGTTGTCCTGCTGGAAGGTGAACCTCCGCCCCAGTCTCAAATCTTTTGCTGACTCCAACAGGTTTTCTTCCAAGATTGCCCTGTATTTGGCTCCATCCATCTTCCCATCAACTTTGACCAACTTCCCGGTCCCTGCTGAAGAGAAGCACCCCCAGAGCATGATGCTGCCACCACCATATTTGACAGTGGGGATGGTGTTTTCAGAGTGATGTGCAGTGTTCTTTCTCCGCCACACATAGCGTTTTGCATTGTGGCCAAAAAGTTCAATTTTGGTCTCGTCTGACCAAAGCACCTTCTTCCACATGTTTGCTGTGTCCTCAACATGGCTTCTGGCAAACTGCAAACGGGACTTCTTATGGTTTTCTTTTAACAATGGCTTTCTCCTTGCCACTCTTCCATAAAGACCACATTTGTGTAGTGCACGACTAATTGTTGTCCTGTGGACAGTTTCCCCCACCTGAGCTGTGGCTCTCTGCATTTCATCCAGAGTCACCATGGGCCTCTTGGCTGCCTCTCTGATCAGTGATCTCCTTGTTCGGCCTGTAAGTTTAGGTGGACGGCCTTGTCTTGGCAGGTTTACTGTGGTGCCATACTCTTTCATTTCCGGATGATGGATTGAACAGTGCTCCGTGAGATGTTCAAAGCTTGGGAAATCTTTTTATAACCTAAGCCTGCTTTAAACTTCTCCAAAACCATATTCCTAACYTGTCTGGTGTGTTCTTTGGACTTCATGATGCTGTTTGCTCCCCAATATTCTCTTAACCAACATCTGAGGCCGTCACGGAGCAGCTGTATTTGTACTGAGATTAGATTACACACAGGTGGACCCTTTTGAGTCATTAGCAGTCATCAGGCAACTTCTGAATGCAATTGGTTGCACTCAGGGAAAAGGGGGCTGAATACTTTTGCACGTCGCACTTTTCAGTTTTTTATTTGTAAAAAATGTTTTGATTCATGTAAAATTTTGCTTCCACTTCACAATTGTATACCACTTTGTGTTGGTCTTTCACATTAAATTCCAGTGAAATATATTTATGTTTGTGGTTGTAATGTGACAAAATATGGAAAAGTTCAAGGGGTATGAATACTTTTGCAAACCACTGTAATTGTAAGACAAGACTTCCAGATGTTTTAAAGTTTTATGTAATTAAAGACTATATCAGACATTTAGAATGCTACTTTTCACTATAAGCAATTTAGAAATATCAAACAGTAACTAAGGCAAGCCTGTTTGTCATATAATAAAAATATAGATAATTGTGCTGTTTATCTAGTTGAATTATGTGAAAAAAATTGCCATAGTTTCTTGTACATCCAGCCGACACTCTAATCAAATTGTTATTAACGCTATTGCAGGCAAAGCCTTTAACATTTTTTTAAAATTCCAAAAACTTTTAGCCCTACATTTAGATCCTGTGTTTTTTGGACTGACCCTTCCTGTTCTACTAAAAAAACAAATGTGTGCTCCCACTTTCCGTGCGCCTCTGGCTCTCCATCATCGCTGAAGTCCTCTCCACGGTTTTTAGGAGCCAGGATAGAAGGGCCATTTGTCACGCAGCAACGTCCCCCGGGGTGCTTAGAGATCTGATTGAGTGTGTGGAGAGCAGGTCGGGCAGGAATACATTACAGAGAGTTTATTTCGGTGAGGAGGGATGAAGGTAAACGACTGTTTGGGGTTTGAGGGAAACATGAGAGCAGAGGTGGGACGTCACACTGATATAGATAATATAAGAGTCTCAAACCCAGCTGTAGCACTATGACAGATATGGAGCAGAAGAATGAACTCCRGCTAATGAGGAGCATTTAATGGCCTGAAAATTTTTTTTTTCAAAACTCCCTCTCTCCCTCCTTCGGAGTGCTGCATTGTCCCGTCAGTGTTTTTCCACTAYGGTTTGTTAATGTTTCAGCTCAGCCTGGAAACTGTGAAAATGTGCTGATACAACAGCAGAGGTAAAGTCCGCTTTTAAAAGGCTGCTGAGTGGATCTGTTCTGATTTACATCTGCTCCCACCTGAACTCATCACTGCGAGGGGGAAAAACAGCTGCAGATAACGCCGAAGCCCTGCTCCCGGTTCTGACTCACGTAGCTTTAAACTTAAGTGCAAATACTAAAAATAGGGGACAGATAAAAAAGGGTAAAAAATCTCAAGTACCCATGGTACTTTAAGGTGTCATAAAAATACAGTCTGATCTAAGCGCCTTGAAAAACCTCCTACCGTTTCCAACATTCCCACTTCAGCACGTCTTCACAACAATGCTTCATGCAGCCTTTCATAGAAGTCGTATTTTGTTGTTAAAAAAAATGTAGCAACATTATAAAATCTGTTTTAAAACAGTTGAACCTTACTCATTTAACCCCGTGTCGGACCAGGAAAGTACATTGTTTTTTAAAGTACCTGACAATACATTTCAGCTTGGTAATATCTCTCCTACACATACGTCAATGTTGAGCAACTTCTTGTGAAAAAACTGCAAGTATTGATCATTTTGAAGCTATATTTGGCAATGAAATCATGAACGTCCTCCACTTTTAAGATACATTTTGCTAGTCTGCTGGAGCCACGGGGAAGAGCTTTGTGTAAGTAGGCGGTGCTTTGTACCTGCAAGTGTTGAGGCAGCTTCACATGTCTATCACAGGAGATTCAAGGATTTCTTAAACGTACATGAATGAGTCAAAGCAACACTAAGGAAGTGTTTTTGATGAGGGATTGGCATTATAACATGATACAAAGCTCAAAAGAGTTGATTTTGCACAATACCCAACCCCCCCTTTAATACCAAGACAAACTGAGACCACTTCCTCCATTAAACACAGGACTGAGCTATTTTTAGCTCCCTCAATTGATTATCTGTTCCTCGTGATCTGTATATAAAAGAGCTAATCCACTATCCAGGGTCTCAGATGGAGCTAAAAGCCCAGGAGCGCTGGAATCATGTTACAAATTATACAGAACAGACCACGCTTCAAATGTTGTTTGTGTTTGAGTGAGTAAGAGAAGACGATTTCTTGCTGACCCACAAGGCTTCAGGGTTAAAACTCATTTTGAGCCAAGGGCAGCAAGGGGGGTTAAACCAAAGACTCCACTGTGAAGATGCTACATCATTTTATTTAAGATAAAAAATAAAAAAAATCGAAAACGAAAAACGATACTTGCTTTTTTTTTAAACATATTCCTCTTTGGTTCAAGTTGTTAAAATTTAACTTATTAACACAATTAAATAACTAGCTGCTGTCAGTCGTTGACGTGATGAGAAAGGCTGAATCAACAGTTCATCAGAGAGTACCGTTCCTGGGTCATAATCAAGTGAAACGTAGGCAGTAGGGTCCCGCTTCAGCTCATTCCTCCTCCTCCGTCACCTCCTGGTTCGCTTCAGGCACAGCGCAACAATTCCTCGCAGCGCTCGCGTCTCTCCTCAGCGCCTTCAGGCACTTGTCGAGCCGCTTCACGCACAGAGTCACGTCGTCCCGAGTGATGCCGATGGCGGAGGCGGCGTTGAGGTAGGGGCAGGGGTACGACTCGGCGTGCGACATGAAGCCGCGGAACGTGTGTCCGTTCACGACTTGCTCCTTGCCCAGTGGGATCACCCTGGAAACACGAGGGGAGGAAAAGGCATTAAAAAAAAATACAGAAATAGAAATACTTCTTTTGCTGCAGTTTTGGAAGATTTCAAACTCTGCAACACTGTTAAAAAATAAATAAATAAATAAATACTCTGGCCTATTAAATCTGGCGGAGCTGCAACTCTGTCAGCACAGTTTAGACTCGCTTTAATGTGAAATCAATTACCGGCCCGTTACAAACACAATGAGTACGAGCAACCATTAGGGTCGGGAAATGCACTGTAATGACTCCGTAGGTATTTAGTAATCACATATCGTCTCTAAAACTGACATTCGTCTGGCTAGCCTTTAGCCTAGCCATAATGCTCCATGTCTGACGAGCTACTGACTAAAAAAACTATGTTTGTTGCAGGGTCTTAGATCCACATTGCTAATACAGTAAATGCCAAAACCACAGATAAAATATGTATTTTCATCTATAATGATAAAATTTTAATGTGGTAAATTTCTTCGAAATATGATTTTGAGGCAACGTCGCCCCCTTACAATATGCCAGGGCTGTCCAACTAGATTGCTCAAGGGGCCAGACATCCTGGGTCGTGGAGGTTTGGGGTGTTGCCCAATAACGATATGAAGAAACGCTGCATTACAAAAAAGAACAAGCATTATAGTTTATCTTTTTAATTTGTTCATTTTGTTGCACTGAATCATAAATTTAAACTTTACAATTGGTTTAAAATCTATTTTATAATAAATTCAGAACAAAAACTAATTTGGGGTGGGCCAGACAGAAGTCACCTGCAGGCCAGATGGGGCTCGCGGGGCACCAGTTGAATAGCCCTGGAATATGCTGATTCATTTACTGACATCTGTACTCCGAAACTATAAAAGTTATTTGTACATTTTGGTTTTTCTCTCCCGTCTTTGAGGCGGATTATAAGCCAGCTCTTGTAATCTCGTTTTACCTGGCTCCTGACACTTGTCGGGTGAACAGCATGGAGCCGAGCTGAGTCACCGCCTGATCGCTTGAGGCCTGGAGACCATCGAGGGACATGGCTGGAAGAGAGACAGATGCCACACCCAACACACACACACACACAAACAAACACACACATTTAAACCCACAATGTCAGGAAGACAAGTTCTGCACTAATACTGTATATGAACCTGCTGGTCTGTGATCAGCACTTGGAGCTCACCCAGAGAGATGGGATTATGTGGGGTGTGAAGCAATCTCTCCCCGTGTGCAGAAGCCAGAGCCTTCAGCTCCTGAGCCAGGAACAAATAAATCTCCTGCAGACACACATAAAGACACACTGTAGAGGACGTTCAGCAGAACTGTCTTCTTGCTGCCACAGCTTTATTCAAACCATAAAACGACRTCTTTATTGCTAATCATGCAAATCTGTTGGGGTTAAACCGGGTCCAGAACCCCACGTCGGGCTGAGTGTTTCCCTCTAGGATTCTCTGGTTCTGGCCTGGATGTTTGTCTTTACGTCACTCGTCCACCTCCGGGATCAATTAGAGGAGCGAGAAGCAGAAGAACACATGATTTTTAAGCTGAGATTTGAACACTTGTGTGCCTGAAAAAAAAAAACTGCTGACAAAGCGCTTCGCCCGTGTGTGTGTGCGTGTGAGAGAGACTGAATCAGAGCAAAAGAGAGAGGAGTAGGGATGGGGGTGGTGGGACACAGATGTTCTGAGCTCTGCAACAAACTGCAGAGTTTTGTTTTTCCTTTTCTTTGTGCTGGCTACTAGGGGCCGGATTCGCTCCCTTCCCTCCTGTCGAAGCATTAAAAGGATGAGAGTGTGTGTGTGTGTGTGTGTGTGTGTGTGTGTGTGTGTGTGTGTGTGTGTGTGTGTGTGT